ACAGCAGCTCTGCGGACATCTAGCAGCACCAGTGCATTTGGGCCGACGGATACGCCTAATGGAAATCGTAATATATCTCCCTATGCATCCTATACGCTCCCGAAGAGCGGCCCTGATTATAAGGCTCTCCGCCACCAGGCCAGTGGAGATTATACCAGCCAAGGATCCCAGTCATACAAGTTGACAGGTCCACGACCTCAAACGCAGAGTGCCATCTTCACCCCAGCTGCTGAACGCTTAAGCCAGATCTCGACTCCGTCAGAGCCGGAAAACGTCACCTCTGCTGTTCCCCATCCTTCCCTTCGGGATCGACTGAACATCGCCCGGGTGCGCAGCAGTTCCAGGAGCAAACAGTCCGAAGTTGACACCGATCCGTCCAAGTATGACAACATGCCACCTCCCAAGCTCCCGGCATCTGCAACATGGAACAATCTTTCGTCTGTACCATCAACTAGTCCCAGCCTGAAGACATCTTATCTCAAGCCCCGTCGACAGTCCTCGGTATCTAGCATCACGAAGCAAGCGGGTAATCGTAAACCCAGCGTCAGCAGTGACCGAAGTCTTACTCTGGAGCCAAGCCGATCTCATGAATCGCATGCCAGTGATAAATCCCATCGCTCTCATAGCAGCTTTGTCTCTCCGGTTCACAAGATCATCAGCTCTGCTCGGTCTAGCGCCGCGGCTTCTTCATCCGCTGCTGATTCGAATGGCGATGCAGATATCGTGATAGCCGACGAGGAAATGCGAAGACTTGGATCTAAGCGGAGAGATTTCGAAAAGGCAGCCAAGGAGTTGGACGAGTTGCGTCGCAAGGCTGGACCAAAGGACCGTGTCAGTCCTGCCCAGGCTCTCAAGATGGCCAATCTGAACATTTTTGAACGCGGCGAAATCATTGATTATCGGGATATTTTCTTCTGTGGCACTCAGAATGCGAAGAAGCATATTGGAGACCTTCACTCGGGTGCCGCAAACTTTGGATACGATGATGATCGTGGCGATTATAATATCGTGATGGGTGACCATCTAGCATACCGCTACGAAGTGGTGGACGTCCTTGGTAAAGGAAGTTTTGGACAGGTTGTTCGATGTGTCGACCACAAGACAGGTGCTTTGGTCGCAATTAAGATCATTCGCAACAAGAAGCGTTTCCACCAACAGGCTTTGATTGAAGTCAATCTCCTTACCAAACTCAAGGAATGGGACCCCGACCGCCGCCACAGCGTGGTCAACTTTGTACAGAGTTTCTACTTCCGCGGCCACCTCTGTATCTCCACCGAGCTTCTTGGCATGAACCTTTACGAATTCATCAAGGCGCATGACTTCCGTGGGTTTAACCTGAAGCTTATCCGGCGGTTCACCAAGCAGATGCTCAGCAGTTTGGTATTGCTGCACGCCAAGAAGGTCATTCATTGTGATTTGAAGCCAGAGAACATCCTTCTCGTTCATCCTCTGAACTCCGAGATTCGAGTGATTGATTTTGGCTCGAGCTGCTTTGAGAACGAGAAGGTCTATACATATATCCAGAGTCGATTCTACCGGTCTCCGGAGGTTATTCTTGGAATGTCCTATGGTATGCCTATCGATATGTGGAGTCTTGGATGTATCCTGGCCGAGTTGTTCACCGGCTACCCCATCTTCCCGGGTGAGAACGAGCAAGAGCAACTGGCATGTATCATGGAGGTGTTTGGGCCTCCGGAGAAGCACTTGATTGAAAAGAGCACACGAAAGAAGCTCTTCTTCGATTCCTTGGGCAAACCTCGTCTTACCGTCTCATCCAAGGGCCGTCGACGCCGACCAAGCTCTAAAGACCTGCGGCAAGCTCTGAAGTGTGACGATGACGCCTTCCTCGATTTCATCTCACGCTGTCTCCGCTGGGATCCTACGCGCCGCCTCAGCCCCCACGATGCGTTGAAGCATGAGTTCCTCACTGGAATCAAGCCGCAGACCCGGCCCAGGATGTATGCTGCCACCAACTCCCCTTCCAAGCGCGGTACCCCGTCCGGTGGGCGACCACTGCCAGAGCCTCCAAGTCTCAAGACTGGGCCGTTCTCGCGCAACCGCGACCCCTCCGGCAATTCGCCGGTCAAGGGCAGCAGTGGGAAACGCCATTCCACCGTGAGTGGGATACCACCTTCCAGCCCCGCCAAGCGAGGATCCAATAGTTCCACGATCTCCGGTACTGCGCTGCCTCGGGCATCGGCACGCAGTATCAGTGGAAAGCCTGATCTTGCGACGGCGGCGGCGGCGACCAGCCTTGTGAGTTAAGATGATACGCAGAACAAGCATAGCAAAGAGAACCGAGCGCTGACCGCGGACAGAGGAAATAATCCGCCATCCCCCCCCCCCTTTCCCCTTTCCCGATTTCCCTCTTCTTCCTTATTCCCCATGTTTTTTTCTTCTGTTATCAGATTTATGTTGTCACCTGTAATCATAATTGTTACTTTGTTTTCCTGCATCAGGTGGGTGTCATGTCGGCATGTTGATTGCGTTATGTGGTTGAATCCTTGGAGATGAAAAGAACGACATTCATCCTATACCCGTTGTGTTCGTGGATAGCATTTGCATCTGGGCCTTTGAGATGATTCGTGACGGGGTACATGTCTTTCGTTTGTCTTTCGTTTCTATACTCATGACTCCACGACTGGTCCTGCCAGTCTCCTGTACATTTTTATTCCTTGCATCTCTCTTTGAGGGCATTATGATAGCGCTCATGTGAGCTTCGGATTTATAGCATTGTGTTGAGAGTAGAAAAGTACTAGTAACAAGGTGCAAATCATGGTATTTATACTCGTAGTGGTATGTGGTGTACCTGGCCAGTTACCACTATTAAGTACAGTGTGGGGTCCGGCAATGCTTACTTGGCCTCATCGCCTTATCACGTCCGAGTCGTTGATTTACTCCGCACCCTTTCGCGCTCTTCATGTCGCACGTCCACAATGAATGGCTTTAATGAAAAGGGCCTCAATGAGGATGCCTTTGGGGAGAAGACCACTCTATCAGGGCTAAAGACCTTCGATGCCTTCCGTGAGTCCTGCTTCTATTCATTGATTCCCCATCCCTCCGATCTTTTGGAGACACCCCCAGCTCGAATAGGCCGCGTCCACCAATGCTCTGCAGGATACACTGCATGAAAGATAAAAGGAACCGCACATAATAACAATCCATTCTCTAGCCAAAACAAAAACCACCTACACAACCCCGACCCGACGTGGCGGACAATGGACCGTCCTAATCCTCGCCGTGTGCACACTATTCAGCTTCCACGAGCTCCGAACCTGGTGGCGCGGCACCGAAGCCCACCACTTCAGCGTGGAGAAAGGCGTCTCGCACGATCTACAGCTCAACCTCGACATAGTCGTCAACATGCCCTGCGACACCCTCCGGCTAAACATCCAAGACGCCTCCGGTGATCGCGTCCTAGCAGGCGAACTCCTCACCCGCGAAGAAACAAACTGGGACCTGTGGATGAAGAAGCGCAACTACGAATCCCACGGCGAACAAGAGTACCAGACACTCAGCCATGAGGCTGCAGACCGTTTAAGCGCGCAGGAGGAGGACGCGCATGTTCACCACGTCCTGGGCGAGGTGCGGCGCAATCCGCGCAAGAAGTTTGCCAAGGGGCCCCGCCTACGCTGGGGGGATAATAAGGATTCTTGTCGGATCTATGGCAGTCTGGAAGGGAATAAGGTACAGGGCGATTTCCATATCACCGCGCGTGGACATGGTTATATGGAGATTGGTGAGCCGCATTTGGATCACTCTGGTGAGTATTTCCCCTTTCAGTGGAGGGAGGCATTAGGAAGATGCCGTTGCTGCTGTTTACGGTTGTACTAATATTCATACAGTCTTCAACTTCTCACATATGATCACGGAACTCTCCTTCGGCCCACACTACCCATCTCTCTTAAACCCTCTCGACAAAACAATTGCCGAGAGTGATAGCCACTACCACAAATTCCAATACTTCCTCTCCGTCGTTCCCACTCTGTACTCCAAGGGTCGCAGTGCCCTGGATATAGTCACGACGAACAAGGACAATACCGCCCGCTATGGGCGCAACACAATCTTCACAAACCAGTACGCGGCTACGAGCCAAAGCGGAAAGATCCCTGAATCGCCTGCCTTGATCCCTGGCATCTTCTTCAAGTACAATATCGAGCCGATTATGTTGCTGGTCAGCGAGGAGCGGACGGGATTCTTAGCTCTTCTTCTTCGAGTCATCAATACCATTTCCGGTGTCCTGGTTACCGGTGGTTGGCTTTATCAGATCTCCGGGTGGGTTGCGGAGATTGTTGGGAAGAGGAGACGTCAATCTGAGGGTGTTTTGACTGGGAAGCATTTTTCGGATTGAGTTTGTTTGGTTCGGTATTTCATAGATGTCATAGGTTCAAGTTCCTTCATATTGCATTTTCATTATTCGCGGCTTTATCTTTACTCTTTACTACTTGTAGTACCCACGTCTGGCTTGTAAAATCGTAGACATCATGATGCTTGGATAAAACTAATTGAATATTAATCTTCCTTACCTAGGTAATATTACCTTGTAGAAGAGACAATTTGCCAACCTTGCTGCACTACTAGTAGTTAAATGAATCTTTCGACTTCCAACTTGAAGGTTCTAACCTAGGCTCTCGCGAGGTGAGTGGAGTACTAGTAAGTAGTATACATTCCACCTGGGGAGGGATCTTACCATATAGCCTCAGGCCCCGAGTCGGTGCTAGCCCTGGAGTATATGCAAAATTTAATCTTATAAACTAACAAATTCAAACAAATTCAACTCAACCGACCCCGGGAGGGCAGAAGGTTCCAATTCAATTGCAAAGAGTAGTATTGTTGACAAATCATGGTATATATACTAGTAACAACGAAAGCGCCTGTCCATGCCACAGTTCCACCAGCCTAGAACACTCGTGAAGTTACCATCCAACCCAGAAAGACGATTTCCCATAATATCCCATCCCATCCCACCGTACCATACATAGTAGGACAATGAGATAAGACTAAACCTCGAAGATCTCCCCCATTCCCACGCCCGCTCCCTCAGCCCCAGCCCGACTATCAACAAGATCCAACCGCCACCCATTCCAGTCGCGCAGTTTGCGCTTGATCTCCCTTACCCACTCCACGCGCTTGCGAGCCTCTTCTTCAGCCTGCGCACGCGCAAACTCTGCCTCGTCGAATTCAAACTCATCGTCTAGGTTCTCCTCGGAGAGTAGCTCGAGACTACCTCGCGTAGCAGGCGCATGAGGATGTGGCGGGTTTGACGAGCCAGCTCGGGAGCGGTTGTTCTGGTTGCCGCCGGTAAAAGCGGCAAAGCCACTTGATAGGACGGTGGAGAAAGATGAGTGGTGCTGCTGCTGCTGCTGCAAAGCCATGCTGCGACGACGGGCATGGTCAGGACGACCACCGACGAGATCCACGTCGTCAAAGGCGTTGGCACCGGCATCGACGGCCGATCCGGCGCCTTCTTCAGGAAAGCCTTGTCCGGCTAGTTCCTGGCGCTTCTCTTGCCAGACTCCGCGGCGTAGATCAAAGTTCTCGCCTTCCAGCTCGCGGATGCGGCGCTCCAACCTTTGACGCTCTTCGTCCTCGAGCTCGTCGAGGGCCTCGTCGTCGGCACCGCCACCTGATTCGCGCTTCTTGATGCGGTCACGCTCTTCTCGGAGGCGGAGATTCTCGTTTTCGATGCTGGAGAGTTTCTTGCGGAGCACGGCTGTCTCTTTCTCTGCCTTTTCGCTCTCGCGTAGGCGGGTCTGGTGCCGGGTTTCGGTTTCTTTGTGCAGGTTGCCGATTGCCTGGAGTTTCTTTTCCAGGTTTTCGATCTTTTTGTCTGCTTCGCTCTTTTCGTTTTTGCCGTCTTCAACTTCGCGTTGCAGGGATTTGATCAGGGTCTCGGTGGAAGTCTTGTCCACGCCTTCTTTCACTGCCCTCTCTGACGCACGCGTCAGAGCTTGCTTCGTATCTGCCAATTCACGCTCAGATTTCTCCAGTGCGGCCCTGCTCTGCGATGCCTTCTCTTCCAGTGCTGCTACTTGTGTCTCGTTGGCGCTGTTGGAGGAGGATTGGTCGGTAACCTGGGCGCGTAGATTTGAAATCTCCAATTCCATCGCCTCGATAGTCTCCGACTTGGATTCAAGCTGGCGTACCAAGTCTGCCGGCGGTGACTCGGAAGGTCCAGCATTATTCCGGTGTGATCGAGATTGAAGTTGGGAATTCTGTCGTTGCAGAGATGCAATCTCCTCCTTCTGTTATCTCGTCAGTGCCTCTTGTCCTCGCAGTCTATCAATCCAAGCTTCTAGAGATCTAGGTTGAACATACCAATAATTCAACATCCGCCACCTTCTCCTCTGCCTGCTTCAATTTCTCCCGTAGCTCCACGCTATCAACGCTAGCCTCACGTAGATCCTCCACCTGTTCTTCGGTTTTGCGCCAGCGAGTCGTCGCATCAGCAATTTCCTTCTCTAAACGCTTGTTTTCCTTCTCCAGCTCCTCGATCTTCGTCGACTGTTTCCGGAAGACCTCGTGCACAGATTCTCCGTCCCCAGTTAGAGGAGGTAGAGACTGTGGTGGGGACTTGAGTGCGGATGATGGCGAGGGGAAACGCTTCCTTGGGACACGGATGTCTTCCGGAAAGAAGACGAGCGCATCTTCGACTGTATCGATAGAGAGGGCTGGCGGCCGTGCCCGGCGCGAGGGGTGTCGAGTCTGGCTGGTTGCGCCTCCGCCTCTGGATCAGGAGAAGTCGGAGCCGGGGGCATTGGCTCTACAGGCGATTCAACTGGTGCATTTTGCTTTTCTTCCGATGGGGTCTCTGCAGCGGGCTCCGGGGATGTGACTTCTTCTGGCTTCTCCTCGGCGGGGGCGTCTGCCGGAGCGGGGGTTTCTGTCGCAGTCGCAGTGTCTTCGGTAGAAGCGGCGTCTTTAGATGGCTCATCATCCTTGGGGGTGTCTGTAGCGGTTGAGGCCTTCTTGTTGGCCTTCTTCTTTTGCTTCTGGAGCTGGGCTACCTGCAAAACACCGGGGTTGATTAGCGAAATTGGGGCCTGTAGGATTCAGCAAGAGCGTACCCTTTTCTTGGCAGCAGCCAGCTTCTCAGCCTTAACGCGCTCTTCGTCATCGGCCATGGTGGGTTACTCGAGGGTATCAATGGGTGGTGGGGGGAAGTACAGGGAGGACGGAGAAGGGACAGCTTTCCCCATCCCATCCCGTGCACGGGCCCGATCTATAGATAGCCTGGGGGGTTTGGGGCCAGCGAGCTACTTTTAAGTTACTTTCAAGTTACTACTTTGTGACATTCAATGTTCATTCAGAGACCTAGAGTCGACAAGTTGCATACATTTACATAGTTGATACAAAGATGTAGAATCATTTGAGTTGATTGCGTGGCCAAATGCATGTACAGGTAGGTACATCACCAATACCACAGCGGAAGGGTAAAAATATCATTAAATTGTATACACAAAGGTCGAATAGAAGTGTAAATCAAGGCGCAATCGGTATCAGTCTCAGCCAGCGCCGCTTGTAGCCAGGTCTGCAGGTTGAAGTGCGCCACAAGTCCATTGAATCAAACCAACGCCCCGAGCACCATACAAAAAAAAGAGTAAAAGAAAAAGAAAAATGAAGCATCAAAACACCGATCAACGGTCAGACTGTTAAAGACAACCAAGAAAACAAGGCGTAAAGCGTATCAAAAGGGTCGTTAAACCTCCATGGAATCTGCAATCTCCTCACTCATCGCGCGAACCATTCCTCTGCTACCAGAGCGAGAGCGAATCTCTTCATCACTAAGCATATAATGATCATCATCATTTCCGATCGGAAGGGAGGACTTGGATTGATGATGTAGCATCTCATCATCACTGTCATCCTCACTTGCACGGAGCGAGGATTCGGCCCGGCTCCCAAGCCAATACCGGGCCCGCTTGCTCGAGCTAAGGTCAGGTGTGAGATATCCGTCATTGAAGGTCCGTTTACCGGTCGGCGTGGAAGCCATCTCATCCGGTGTGTGGCTGAGGATGGGGATCGCCCGGAGATAGATATAACAGACACGCTTGCGAAGCGGGTTGAAGAAGAAGTAGTGAAGACTCCAGATGGCACCATCATCAGCGTCGGACGGGTCCTCCTCCGGAGAGTACGAGTATACCGAGCACTCCTTTAGCGACATGTGTTCATCTACGGTTCTCCACATGCGGGGGCCCCATGCAGATGTGCTCGCGTTATATGATCCGGACAGGGTGGCAGGGGATGAAGGGGAGAGGTCGATCGACTCGCGGGGGCGCAAGTTGAACAAGGTGGAATTGACAGTGTTCATCACCCGCTTGAGATATCGCTCGCGGCGGAAATCTGTCGGTCGCAGGACGTGCGAGAAGTCGTAGTCCGGGTGACTGGCGTTGAGAGTTGCGATCAAGTAGGCGAAGGTGCGGCGACTGGAGTGCTCACTCAGGGGGCCGAACGGGCTGGATCGCGATAGGTTCAGTGTCTCGGCAGCATCGTGGGCGTTGGGAGGGGAGAGCGACGCTGATAGGCGGAGGATTGATTCGTATTGGGCCTCAAGCGATTGCTCGATGTGGTTGTACAGCTTCCGGTCGGAACGGGCAGCCTTGGTAGTGTACAGATCACAGCCACCGGCGATATGACAGTCGGCCGTGTCGAAATTCAGGGAGCTCGTGACATCCTCGAACTCGGGCAATGGAAGGAACTAAATAGAGCGATGGTGAGCATCGCGAGTCGAGCGAAGTTGCGATATGGGAAGCGATCCGGGGAGCGATCCCGGGGGGGGGGGATGGGGCGATCGTCATGGCGACCGGGGGAGAGATGAAGGGGATAGCACTCTCAACTTACCTTCATCTCGATGATAGAAGTAGTCGGCTCCAGTAAAGCGATTGCCTTGGGATCTTAACGTAAGAGTAATTGCGCTGATCCTCAGAGGATTGATGAGAGTGATGGGAAGATGACGCGAGGTGGTCGCGCCGAAGACGGAGATGGGGTAGTCGATCGGCGATAGCCGCAAGCAGGCAGAAGGGGGGGAAGCTGGAAGTTAAGAGGGGATATGCTCAACCACGACAAAGGGGGAGGGTATAGATGAAAGGAGGAGGAGGAGGATATTAGTAGAAGAGAGAAGAGAGGTACTAAGACATATAGGATGGCCCCCGATTCCCGATTGCACGGCGACTGCGACCGGAGAGGGGGGATGTCACGTGTTGGGCTGGCCAGTGAGCGGGCGTGGTGACCTCACGGGTGGTCGATCCATGGAACGAGGGGAGTGTTGGAAGTTGATGAGAGAGGAATAGTAGGGAGAGGAGTGAAGAGAGAGAGACTATAAGCCCACTCGCTCCAGGTTGCGCGTCACATCTTCTGTATCCTGACATGAGAACAATGGTGGTATTGATTAGTATAGACGCTACAAAGACAAACAAAGAATCCCGCTACATGATCTTGGTGACCACATCTTCCTCGACCTGGGGAGTATTAGCCCAGTGCGGGATTCGCAGTGGATGACAAGGGGAGTATGGTGTAGAGTGTATAGTGTATAGGGTAAGGGTATAGGTAGAGGAGAACAGATGCTTACCTCCATATCCTCCAGGCTGTCCTGCTGGCTGATACACCGTAGCACATTCTTCTTGCTGCTCTCTTGCAATTCCCCCGCCAATAATAACTCATCCAGGATGAAATATGCCTTTTGGAAATTGAAAATGATGTCCAGCTCACACACATTCCCGTAGTATTTGTCCATCTGCTCCACATAACGGTGCACCACCTCCAGGGTGATCAATTCATTGTCGGTCGACGAACATCCCGCGATGAAGAAGAGTGATGCATAGCGACGGTAGACGACTTTCGAATCTGGACCAAATATCCGGGGTTAGTCGGGGCCAAAGATCCCTGAGGTATAGGTATAGGGGAGAGGATGCCACCTTTGTATTCCAGAAAATTGCACATCCGCGTCCGGCGGGACAGCACCAGCTGGGTCACATCCTTGATGATCTTGGCCTTCTCCTTGGGGGAGAGAGTGGTGAACCACTTGGCGAGGCGCTGGAAAGGAGAAAGAGTAAGTCAGATTGGGCTTCGGATCGAGGGGACTCGACTTCAAGACGGGGATTAGGGTGGGTGACGAGGGGAACACACCACTTTGCCCTGGCGGGAGAGCAGAATCAAATAACTTAAAGGACCATGAGTACACTGCATGCGATTGTGGCAATTTGATTGACTCACCTGATGGGCATCTTGGGGTTGGTGTGGAGGGAAAAGGGATGGAGAACGGGAGGCGTGTCAAAGCCGCGGACCACCAAAGCTCTGGACAATTTCTGCTTCGGAGTGGAAGTGGAGAGAGCGGAGTGCTTGAGTGCCCCGCCCTAAGAAATTGTTTCCTATCGCAAAGAAGTATGGATTAGAATAAAGATGAAGGGTATGAACAGTTACTACAGTGCAATTTACCAGTTGTCACTTATGATAATGTCGGGCAATTTGCGATGCTGACATGGTGTTCGCTAGATGAGTCAAGCTCAAAGTGCCGGATTCTCACGGCACTACAGTTACTACTAGCTATACTAGATACCTACCTGTCACCCTAACTCTCTAAAGAAACCACCACATTCTCTTCGATAATATAAAATGTAAAATAAAATTGAAGGCTCATACAGGTGCTCGTATAAGCCCAATGATTAACCAGTAATTATTAATGACATCATAGTAACACAATATCCGAAGGTGACGCCCGTTGCACATTATAAAAGAACATAAAAAAGAAATCCCATCCCAAGAATCGTCCGTGTTTCCATTTTCCGTTCAACTCAGAACAGACGTCGGCCGCATCATGTCGTAAAATCATTCACCCAAGCCCAATGCAAGGCCCGTGAACGCCAGTATCCAATCAAATCTTGTCTCACCTCGGGATCAAAGCCGACGTGATACGAGTACAATGAAGGGAAGGAGGCTAGACCAACGGTGGACTTTCGTCTCTTTCAATCTCCCGATTTTCCAAGAAATACCTGCCAGTCCCGCAGCTTCTCCCCCAGCTTCATTGTTCCGGTTCATTCAAACCTGGGCCATGTTGGGCCGACGACGGCTGGCGCTGCGGCCACGAAGGTTCACCGTGGCAGAGCGGGCCAGGAAGACCGAGATGATAACGGAGGCCATATAACCAGCCCAGCCAAACCAGAGGAAAGCTGTCGAGGCCTGGGCTTCGCGGCAGCGCTTCGTGGGGTTGGTGGAGCCGTTGGTGATCTCGTTGTTGAGAACATATGACTAACATACAGATCAGCTTTATTCTTGCTTCTCACTCTTTTGATGCGCAGATCCATCTGCACATAGCTATATATGACTAACCTTGTTGCTGCACGAGTGGGATTCCAACTTAGCTGCCAGCGCGATCGCGGCGCAGAAGAAGAAGACGCAGTTAAGCGCGTCCACCACGATCACAATGATAGGGTGAATAGCCCAGTCGGGGTTATACGTGGCTGGTATCAGGTAGAAGAGCGATAGCATTGAAAATGCCGCAAGGAACATGGTATAGTTGATGGAGCTGGGGTTGCCAGAGAACGCTTCGTTGATCATGTTACCGATCAGGGACATGATGAGCAGAGTCCAAAGGAACTGAGGGCGGGGTTAGCTCGAGACCCTTCGCATAAAAAAAACCATATCCAGCTTAACCTGTAGAAGCACGTACCTCCCAGGCTCTGAGGCCCAACTGAACACCCCGCAGGCCCATTGTAATAGATATGCGGTGGTTTTTACTTAGATCGCGGGTAGATCGTGGAGTCGAGAGGGGATCGTGTCGGCGCAGGGTACTAGTAAAGTACCTGGGGAAGCTGAAGGCGACAAGAGGTGAACTTGAATGTGACGGAGGGAAGCTGCAGGTGCGTCTGGGACCAGCGTGGTTATAAATTCGCGGATGGGCCGGAGGGGCCCCCTGGTGTGGTGACGATATAGAAAACCTACGGGATTCCTTTGCTACGTCATACATCGACGAGCCCGGGAGCCGCCGGCACCCTGTCGATCCGGAAATTGTCAAATTAAGCGTTGAAGCTGCAGGTCGACTACGACTCTGATGAACTGGTAGACCTTGTCAATGATCAAATGAGTGGGTGTTGCGACCGAGCCATTTCAGTCGTTGGTACAGGCGGAGTCTGTAGTATAACTATACCCGACTGTACTTAGCAGCACGGGGAAGGGAGGGGGATCGTCCATGCGAATCATTTCCTATTTTCTACAGTGATGTTCTTGAAAGGGAAAATGATCTCGGACAGAGTATGGGCACGCACATTCTAGTGTTCATGTTTGCTGATTCGATACAAGAACATTCTTTGTACCAAGATATGCTTTATAGCGCGCATGGATGGCTTCGATTACTCCAGGGCTGCAAAAAGAAAATTGAAAGGAATACCGAACTTCGGGATGAGTCTAGACAAGGGGACGTCAAGATAAAGAAATGACGAAGACATAGAGTTCGTTTAATTAAGAAAAAAGGCGTCGGGGAAGGGTACAAAGATGTAATGGTTAGTACTGGCTCGGGGAACTTGCCAGTGAAAGCCTTGACTTTGGCATTAGTACTACTAGTACTAGTTAAAATGATGACCGTTGCCAACTGACATGGTAAAATAAGAACCTAAAATCAAAACCCATCGCATGTCCGCTCTTAAAAAACCAAATTCAACACCGAAGAATCAAGATCTCGCGCCCGATTTAAGATTAATAAGAGATACACTATCGTCCTAAGTTTCGGTGAAAGGACTTTGCACGGAACCATAGCTGCGACCACATGTTAATATAATTTGATGAGTCGGACCGAAGCTGAGAAAATTGAAAAAGCTTACCCTTGCTTGCATAAATAGCCTAGCGGCGTACTCCCACTCCGCATGTAACATATTTTGGCTCTCTGGCAAACCTCCGTTGTGCAATTTGGACTCTGCACACTCATTTTCCCCTGCAGAGTGTTTTGCCAACTAACCAAGCTCAGATCGTTTTCCATTCCCTCCGTCACACGGTGCCAGAAGGTCGCGTTTAGAGGTGCGTCTTGCGGCCATTCAGCAGCAGGGCCGTATGTGTCGCGGGTGGAGTATTCGAGTTTGTAGGTAGGACCCTTGTCCTGAAGATTTGGATACTCGGATACATTGCTGTAGAAGGTGTACGCTTCATAGATGTTGAAGTCGCCTGTATCCATCTCGTACATCCGGAATCCGCTGTTTATGTTTGTCAGAGGCGTTACGCTCGGCCCTATCCACGCGGTGTTGAGAGCAGTTTCTGCTGTCTGATCAGTCCCGTTATTCGCATAGTAGATGTTGAAGTGATCTTCGTGAGTATGACCGAAGAAGATGTTGGCTATCACATGGGGCGAATACCGCTCGACAATCTGGTAGAAAAGGTTTGTTGGATTGGGCATCGCATTGTAGCCATCCCAGCCAGCGAGAATATGGCCTATGATCCAGACACGCTCGCCCTTGTCTTCTGCCTTTTGAAGCTCCTCAATGAGCCAGGAAAGCATTTTAGAGGCATCGGGGTCGGTTGTATTGATGAAGTTGAGAAAGTTGCGCTTGTACCAGAGATCTAGATGATTACCAATTAGCCTCGAGGTCACAAATGGTAAAGTGAGCCGTAGATATAACACGCATACTTGTATTAAGCGAAATGATTCTCAATCCATAATGTGTCATGATGGAATATCCACCATAGTGGGTTGGTGCCTCTTTCGCAGCCCGATGGCTAATCCACCCCTCATGCTCCCATAGACTAGACACATGTTTGTAGTTCCAGCTCATCTGTTGTCCAAGACGTCCCGGAAGACTATGCGCTGCATTAATGTCAGAGGGCGCCGAGTCATGATTTCCCAAGGAAACAAAGACAGGGCCCGTGAGAAAGTGCTTGAACATGTCAAATATGGCCGTTTCGATGTACTCGAGGTATCGCCGTGAATTTTGCGGGAGCGGATCATGCGACTCGAGATCACCCGTGTATATTGTGAAGGCAAGAGACCCTTTGGTTCCACATGCATCGTCATCTTTGCCCGTACCAGTCAAAGGGCCGACTGCCTGCAATGCGGCGAGGGCCAGATCATATGGAGAATCGCAGTGGAAAGAACCGTAGGGAGAGGCAGGTAGCAGAATATCATCCAACGAGTGCTGATTGTGGTTGTCGGCTCGACAGCACAGGCCCGACGTACAATTAGCTTCGGAGTTGACCCCGAAGCGAGCGTCGAGGTGTAAATCAGACATGTGCAGTACCTTTACTCGGTTTCCACTAGCCTTGGGAATGGAAAGGTCTGTTGGTTTGGGCTTCGGGAATAAGCCACGAGCATCCAATGGCTGAGCATGGGGCGAAGGACAGAAACTGGCATCGATATTGTTGCAAATAAATTCACCATCGAGACCCTCCACATCAGCATACGCTAGTACCTGAGTCCAGGGCGGGCCGAGGGTGTTCCAGGCATACTTCGCTTCACAAGTTTCATTTGTTTGGAAGGCAAAGCTCTTGCACATGGCAATTATAGCCCCAGGAACCATCTGAGGAGTAAAAAGAGCAGCGGGCTTGGCAGCAGCCAATGCTCGCTTGCATTTATCGCAATTGCTCTCTTTATTTTCATTTTTTGAGTTGATTATTTCAGACACATTGGCCACGACATCGTCAATGAGAGCACGCTTTTCCGGAGCAAGCAACCTGGCTTTCGGAACAGGGAAGAAGACCTCATCGGAGTTTTCGGGGATGATATCCGGGTTGGTCAACTCGTAAGGGAAAACAATGTCTAGCACAGGATCGTAAATGATGGGTTGGGGCTCTCTGGTAGGAAGAGCCGGTGATTCGTAGTAGGAGCTGTACACCGATTAGTCAATTTCGAGGTAATCAAGAAGTAGGTATGAAGTTGCTGGAACCTTACGCGAAGGCCGAGGTTGGGAACCCCACAGCGGCAACATATGAAGCAGCCCCTGGGAGTGATAGGGTATCGTTCGCAAATGAGTCGAGTCCCAGGACAGCTTGCATGATGGCTAGCAGGTACAACCCCAGAGTCGAGGGGAAGCCAATAATTTGAATACCATGGCGGAAGTGACTGGAAGAAAACGAAGACGAATGAAAAGAACGAATGTTTGCATGTGCAGGGCTCTACCGTGCAGGAGTTCAGAGATGCAGTGGCAAGTGGAAGTCGATAGTTGATGTTGATCGTTCCCGTTTGGGAAGGAACTGCACACATCCTGCAGAAGGCGCGATGCAATGTGCATACATAAACATACATACA